GGCGAGACGGATATACAGACAGCTACAGGTGCCATCGGAATTGGAACCCTTCGTTTGCTGCTGAAGATGGGGACGGAGCGCTTATGGGAGTGTCCCTAGTGTTATGATGTAGATTCCTAATTCAACATTCATCGGATGCATACTACAGTAACAGTTCAATAAAATGAAGTCGATTTTGTGTTTTAGCTCAAACGATTCATTTATTTGCTTCACTTTAACCAATTGTTACTGTAGTATACATCTGAGACACAGCGAAGTATACCAAGCAATAAATTGTGCAGTCTGTTGTTAAGTAAAGGACTCTTTTCCACGCCTTTAGGCTATTAGGCATATAGGGCCAGTCCTAAATTTTGTAGTGCAATCGGCACTTGGTTGGTAATGTGGTCAGCACCAAGCCGACCACCTTTACTTCTCATGATGGCATCTAGAATCCACTCAAGGCTGGGTCAACCTGGGAGCCAATGTCATTTTTTAAAGAAAAATAAAAGTTCTGCTCCGTCAGGACAAGAACCCGAAACTTTTCGATCCGCAGGCGAGCATCTAGCCGCTACACCAAGGCGTCTCCTAGTGAAAAGATTGTTATTCCTGCGTTCTTCCCCTTTGAGTGCAGTAAAATAAACACTATCTATTCAGACTTACTTGGCATCCGACACATGGATCTAGGGCAGGGGCAACGAAGCGATGAAAACGTGGGACGGGGGAGGGGGAACTTCATTTTAGATTTAGGCGGTGGTAATAATAATAAAAATTAATAGAATAAAAAAATAATAATAATAAAATGTGCTGACTGGCAAATCTATATACTAGATGCGAAATCATATAAAATATATAAACTAAAACTTAGAAAGAGAACTTCAAATTTTTATGGGGGTGGGGTGGGGTGGGGTGGGGGTGGTTGGCTTTTAGCACCCCCTGTAATCACCTAGAGGGGCGGGGCATAAGCCTTCTGAAGTTTTTTTTAGTGGAACTCAATTTACTCAAGCCCCGGTTTCAGCGCTCCTGCGGTCATTTAAACAGAATTTTGTGTGTGTGTTTTTTTGTGTTTGTTTGTTTTTGTCATGTAGCAGACCCGTTGAACCAGTCTTGAAAAGTGGGATACACTGAGGAAGTACCTCGTGTTGCCCTTGCACTTGCCATTATCATAACTTCCTGGGAGGTTGAAAGGGGTTTCTGGGATTTGTTCTGTTGAAATGGAGTCACAGGACACGACGATACAGCTCTGAATCATTGGAGGAAAACAGTCCGAGGGTTCAGTCAGATTCTTCAAAGAGCATTTTTTAAAAATTAATTTTTCGACAGAAAGATACTGATTTCTTTTACCAAAAAACGTATGCCTTATATTCAATGAAGACTATGACAGTCGCCGTGGCAGAGCGGCTAGACGCTTGCCGCAATTCGGAAAGGTCGTGGCTTCACTCCGTGGCGGAGGCGGCCTTTGTTTCAAAAATGATCTTGGCTACCAGGTCAAGCAGGCCTTGAGTGGGTACCGGGTGCAGTCCTGGGAAGTAAAGGCGACCGGTGTGATGCTGACCACATCACTCATCTTGTGTCGATTGGTCTATGAAATTTAGGTCGAGCCCTATATGCCCTATAGGTCTAAAGGCGTGGAAAAGGGGTTCTTTACTTTAAATAAGGACTATACTGTGAAATGCACACCTTAGTGCAGGTCGACACCTTGATACTCTTCTGAATTTCGTGGGATAAATAATGTAGTATTTTACCCTGCTTTCTTCCTATAAGCTAATTTAGACAACCTTATCAGCATTTACAATATTTCTTGTTACCACGGTAAGTGATCTAGCTACATTCTCTTTGCTACTTTCGATAACAGCAAAGACTGGATCGACATGGAAGCCTAGGACTTATTGTTTTCCAATTTGCCCCTCTGTGAATTCGAACCTTTTAACATTGGGCGTGTAGACAAGCGTAGTAACCACTGATCTACCATAGCATCCAAAAATGCCCTTCCCACCACATCCCACCCCTTTACCTTGTAAATGTTGTGTATTTCACCCAGAAATTATTATTTTCCTAACAATATATGTGCATCATGTCTGCTGTGAATGACAACAAGCAAAATTATATGTCATCAAATCGCTTCAGTTCAATTCTGAAAATCCTGGCAACCTTTCTCAAGCATTTCAACTCATGCGTAACCAGCTCATTTGTAAACGGAATTTAGTGGCGATAACTGGGCTGTAATAAAGAGATAAAAATCACTATTTATTATTATCATTGTAATTTTCATATAAATCTATCTTTAGATGTTTGAACTAAATAAGTCCTAGAGTTTCCGGTATGATTTGTCGTTTTCTTGTTCTGTGTTGTCAAGACTAATATGTCAGTTTCCACGAAATGTTTTACACATATGAGCGATTAAAATAACAAATTGTAATTCATGTATGCAATGACAAGAAATCAGGCAATCATCTAAAATCATAAGAACTAGACGGATGCATAAACTGTGAAGAGAAATTAGACATAGGCAGACCAGATTTGTGCGAAGTAAAAGGATGAGAAATTCTTCTTCTTCGTGTTCACCAGCTGTAACCGTTCTGGTTGTTTATCCACTTTCGGACTGCAGTTCTGTTCCAGAACCTGAATATTGCGTGTGCATCAGTTTTACAGGTCTGACTAATTTTTATGCAGACTGCTGGTTCCTTGCCTCTCAGGCAGATGCACTACGACTTCGAAGGAAGCTCCCAGTTAGTCGGCTCTTACTTCATGCTTTTGAGTAGGTAGTGGGTCTATTCTTGTTTTCTCTTTAATAGAGCCCCGGAACCCACACAGGGAACGATGATAAATAAACATGAAACTCATAGTGACAACTGATTAACTCTTCTAACTCTCCCTCCACCCCCCCCCCCCCCCCAACTCCCTTTATCTCTCGCTCTCTTTCACGCACATACTAATGTCGTCATATCTTATTCCATCTGGACCTGGTGCACTATTATTTGTCCCTTGTATCACAGCCTTGATCTCATCCACTGTCACTATATTATCTTCTTCAAACTTCTGTGGTAATCACTTTGGCAAAACTGCGTCCTGTCACATCGGTCTGGCTGCCCTGCTGTAGAGAGTGTTCTAATAGCGTCTTGCCCTCGTCAGACCTCCGCAAGGTGAGGTCAGCACACTGGAAGTCAGGAATGCTCTTATTGACTGACTGACTTTCTACCCCACCAGGACATCACACAAGCGATAAACACCCGATGACACAAAGTGCCACCATGCGGATAAGGATCGCCGTGGAGAGGTCCCAGAAACCGCGTTCAGACAATTGGCCATATTTATGGCCTGCCTATATTGCGGCCCCTGGCAAAAGCCAGGGTGGGGCTTCAAATAACAAAAAATTTCGTCCTGGAAAGGACGAAACTGTAATGCTCTTATTTGTGCCTTCATGCTTTTATGTAGTCGCCAGAACAGTTTCAGTGATTTATCTCTATTTATTCTGGCACACAACTCTGCACACTTCTCACTTTTAACCTTAGCTGTTTTAGACGACATTATCGTTCCTTAACAACCTTTCTTGTTACCAGGGTAAGTGATCTAGCTACTTGCTCTTCGCTACTTCCGATAACAGCAAAGACTGGATCAACATGCGAGCCCAAGAAAAATTTTTTTCAACTCTCCTAACTTTCTTTCTCCACGCCCCCCTTCTCTCTCTCTCTTTCTTTCACACACATACTGTATGTGCTCTCTCTCTCTCTCTCTCTCTCTCTCTGTGTGTGTATGTGTGTGTGTGTGAATGTGTGGGCAGAGATGGAACCACAAACTCCATAGTATTTGTCTCCCTTTATCTGTTTATGAAGTACTCAACAAATCTGTCTTTTAATGCTTTAATTTGTTAGAAATTGTTATCAAAAGTTGTCTGAATAAACATAGAACTACGAACCAGGAAAAGTTGTAACGAGTACACGCGGCCTACGTGGTACTGACCTCAGCCCCCACAGAGTCATTAAACCACCATGTGACTAAGTCACTGCAAGATGTGGAAGCAGGTCCTTCACTTTGATTGTTTTTATGAGTATTATAAATGCATTGCAGCAACAAGGGGCGTCGGAACCTCGGGGTTCTAGCAGCTTGAGCATCCTTTCCCCCCCCCCCCTCACCGCCCTGCCACAAAAATAATTCTGAGTGGGGGGGGGGGGGGGGCTCAACATCAAGATTTAGCAGGTCCTTTGCAGAACGTCGTTCTTATCACGGTCTACTTGAAGGTCTCATGCCAGCTCTCCCGCCTCATGTACTTTCATATTAAAGGAGTCACTTTTATCCTGTGTCCATCTTCGTGTTGGTCGGCCCCTTCCCCTCCTTCCTAGTACCAAGCCTTTTGTTACAATTTTTTCTAATCCTCCATGGTGCTTGATGTGCCCAAATATTTCAGCTTCCGAGACAAGATACTGTTTATTAGCTAGCCATCTTTGATGTTCAGATCTTTTAGAATGTCAGTATTTCTTTTCTTCTTGTGTCCACGATACTCTGAAAATCTTTCTATAGCATTTCATCTCAAAAGCCCCTATTTTCTTTCTCACGGACTTAGATATAGCCCACGACTCACATCTGTATGTTGCTACAGGGCTAAGCTCCCATTATTTTGATAGAAGAATAATCAGCCCTCTTAAACCTTGTGAGTGTGTTTATACATTTCATACTAATTCAAATGTATTATTGTATTTATTCACATATCAGTGAAGTGTTGTTATTGTTTTTATTATACTCTTAATCTAGGAGTAGACCTCTCGGACCTCCCAGCATTGGGGGGGGGGGGGGGGGCTAGAAAATATTATGGCAATGGGTTGGAAGGGGCGGGGAGTCGCTCCCGAATTGCAGCCACGTCATCTTCTATCTTTACCCCCCCCCCCCCCCCACCCAAAATGCAAAACGTGCTCAAAATCAAGTGACTTTACTGTTGGTTATATTGCTTGCTCCTTTCTGAATATTGTTATTGTAAATTTGTAAGGTGTATTTTTCATTACCGTTTGTGTGACAAATGAGCTGATCGCTCAAGGTTTCAAGTGGTAAATGAGATACTCCAGAACATACATCATGTTGGGCGAAATATAATGAAAACTGATAGCGTAATCGCTGCAACATTCCGGTCCCTGAAAAGATAAAACAATAAATGCAATATATTACGTTGCCGGTGGCAAGGTCAATGACCTTGAATCCCAGGTCGACCCAGCCTTGCGTGCGTACCAGGTGTCGTCCTGGGAAGTAAAAGCGGCCAGCGTGATGCTGACCACATCACCCACCAAATGCCAATCGGTCTATAAAACATAGGTCCGTCTCTATATGCACAATACGCATGACGGCGTGGAAAAGGGGCTTTTACTTGATTATTACGTTGATATACATTTCTCTAAAGTTAGGAAAATTAGTTTTCTTTAAACAAAATGTTCCTTGTTGTCGTTCCCTCAACAAATGTAATTCAGATAAAAAGCCGCAAGCCTCTAAAAAGGCTGTGATATGACGTATGTACTCCACAGATCAACACAGCGTCATGTCCACCGACAGGCCAAACATAAGACCTCCCTACTATATACAAAGGGCATATCTGCAGCCAATGGTTATTATCATCATCATCGTTGTTCCCTAACATTGCATGTCTCTGGGTTACCAGTTGCTGTTGTTTGTTTAAGTCCCTCTAACTTTGACGGGCTTCGTCGTTGCATGCCTAAGGCCTGTCCAGTCACGACCTTCTATATTTATAGGCCAACTATGTCAACAGGAGTTCCCGTTCTTGTGCCGTTCTGGAGTAGGCGGTGGTCCAGTCAATCAAGTTCGGTATCCAGGTCTTTCTTAGTCTGCCTCTTCTCCTCTCCCCATTTACCGAGCCGTGCAGTAATGTTTCTTAGAAGTCGTTAAATTTGCAAAATAAATAATAAATAAATTATATAATAGATTTGAGCATACAGAAGAATGCGAAAGCCGGTCCCATAGCAGATATTGCAATTTACGTATGGATTGTTATTCTTTCACGCCTCAAGGCAACAACAATTGAACTGAATGACCAGTTCCTTGCTTGTCACTTTTTCTTAACGGACTATTCTTACAAACTATCTTGTGCCTTTTTAAATGAGTAGGATTGCTGTAATTTCCCAATTTTGCAAAAATGGCAACCCTACCTTAGAGCCGTAATCATCAGAAGTTCTGCCACTTCTTCTGTGGATTCCACGAGGACAACTGTCCGGGCAGATAAATAGTGTGCTTTAGTGGTCTGTTGTGATTTTCATGCAACATATTTATGTGAGTCCAATTTTACAGGTCAATTAACTTCTTTGTCGTGCTAGCCACACTTACCATCGTCATGGGCGGTGACTTCCAATCCTCTCTGTTTTGTTGGCACTTTTTTGACTTTCATGACGAGTGTTCCATTTTCCAGTAGGGAGGCATGGATATAACAGACCATAGCGATGGTACCTCCTCTTCATAGCACAAGTCTGGGCTATATTGTAGAGCAAACTTTTGCCCGTGCAGCATGATGCCCTCTCGACCTGCTTCATTAACTCCAAAGGTAGGCTAACACTAATACTTTTGGAAGAAGCATGTTGGAGAAGCTGTCGAATCATAAGAGCAGTGCTCTTTCTCTTTCTCCACCTGTCGGAGGCTTCTTTCCATGATCAGCAGCCTAACAAGGCTAAGAGACTGGTCTGCCCTCCTAAAACATTAAATTTTCCTTGTCATAGTATAAGGCTAGTCTCTTCCCCCCCCCCCCCCCATTTCCAGATCACAGCTTCACCCAAATCCATTGGCATGAGTGGGATGTCAAGTCTGGTTTTAGACCGCCCAACATTCGGCGTTAACGAAAAAAAACTTTTATTATACGACACCTTTGTCATATGTGACCAATACTGATCTCGATACACCACATTATAGCACAATGTACACTTTAGTCTGGAAACAGAAGGCTGCGTGGTCTCGATGCATGGTGTCCGCCTCGCGTGCTATATTTTCCATGTTCAATCCCCGGTAAGGGCTGGGATTTCTAGGACTTGGACTTTTAGTAATTCCCCTGGTCTCTGGGTATTGAAATCGGACGCCCATGTGCATTGTTGCGCATATTTAAAAAAAATCCCTTGGCAGTTGGAAATCGAGAAGAATAGCATGATGGCGCTGCCCGGACAAAATTTGGAGTTAAAAATCTACCCAAACTATTTCAGGATCCTCGCCGGTGCCACAGAGCCTGTGCAATGTGTTGAGCTTCTTCGAACTCGGACTTGAGTTTGAAGAAGAACAGAGCACTTATGGGTTACTAACCGTGCGCCATTATGTTGATCTGTTGTTCAAACCTCAAACCTCATTACCCATGAGCCCATGTTGATCCATTGTTCAAACCTTAAACCTCGTCTGGAAACAAGGAAAGGCACTTACGAACAAGGACTGTAAATCCCCTGAAACACTGAGCTGTAAATCTTACGCCCTACCATTGAAGTCATTACAGTGTTGAAAAAAGACTTGCATTTATCAGAGTAATGTCGCATTCGTCATTTAGTCATCATCAGCACGTCGTTGCGAGTGCAGTAAACCATCACAGCTTGTCATCTTGCATAATCGCCAGAGTATCGGACAAAGTCGGTGTTTTCGTCCCGTTTACGACATGTGGTTTAGCCATCGAGGTATTTAACCCCGTCTTTCCCGTGCTCCGTTTGTGTCAAATTCGCCCTGTATAACAAAGTGTCCGTTGTTTTTTCCTCCTTGTAAATTGTTTAAAAATCAAATCTTATCCCCTCAACTTAATAAACACATACTCTCATTACAAATAGAGCAAACAAATATAATCTGAACTTGACATTTCAAAGGAAAAATCATGTAAAGAAAATCTGATGATTTCGCAAAAAAATCGTATCGCAAGTCGAACTACAAATAATTATGAACGGACAAAAATAGTATATTGATGACCTCAAGAGCAGATTAAGCAGTTGTAACACTAGAGACAAAAACAAATTTAAATAAAGGTCTATTTGCTTATTTAGGTAGTAATCGAAAGAAACAGAAGGAACTTAATTGCGACACACATTGGCATAGCGGCAGCAGTTTTTAAAAGTCTTTAAAAAAAAAAAAAAGATAATGAGCCCTAAATTATATACTTTTAAAACCAAGGCACCCATTTTCACTTCTCTTATTTCAGTTTTAGCCTATGCCAGTGATTGTTGGCTTAGACGTTGCCATTCCGACTGGTAATTCCAACGTACCGCAAACGAAACCCATTGCTGGCTGCCTTGATTTTTTTCATGGTTTTGGGTATCGCAGGTCGACCCAGCCTAAAATGGTTACCAGGATGTATGTCCCGAGAAAGTAAAGACGGCCTTCGTAATGCTGACATTACCCACCTAGTACCGAGTGGTCTGTAAAAATATGGGTACTCTTCCCATAAGCCCGATGCGCCTAAAGGCGTGAAAATGGATCTTTACTTACAGTGATTGTTGGCGAACACTAGAGACATTAAACGGAAGTTAAATGCGTTCGAAAACATGCATGATGTAACAGACGAACATTAAATAGGATAATTCAAGACATGAAGAAATAAGAGAAATGAATGGACGCCCGCTGGTATCAACAATTCTAAGACTAAGAATATAGCACCATATTCGACACATCCTAAACAGAAGCGAGGGGAGAATCATTGAAGGTATACTGAAATGGGAACTAATGGATTGTGGAAACGAAGTCATCCAAGAGAAAACCCAAAAATGAACATTTATGAGTGCAGGTCAAAGGTGATAGACTGGATTCCATTTATGACTTCGTCAGTATTGCACAGGGTAGATCGGAAAAGGTAAGTAGAATGCGAGCTTTATATGATATATAATCGCACAACAGGGTGGAGATGCTGATGTTGGTGATAATGATGATGATGATGACGATGATGATAAATATTTTGAATATAATCATGCGTGTTGTATTACCTGTTTTACTCCATAAAAGCTGTATTTGTTGAACCATGTGTTCTTCAGAAGCATTCCTGTGATCAAATGATGTTCAGGTGAAAAGGGGTGAAACCTTTCTCTCCCAAGCGCATCCCTGCTATCTCCTGCCTCTACTCCGATATTAAACAGACACCTTCCTAATTCTACATCCTCGCCACTGCCACTACCATTTCTGCACTTGTTACTGTCCTTAAATCCGCGTCTAACAGCTTGTATAATCGCTGCTTTACTAAGAACATACCCTGCACCGCCACTCATGTAAGGTTTCTTCTCAGGAGCTTTAAATTTTCTACCAAAGTATACTGGCTTTGTTGATGAATGGTCTTGCAGAAAGTGATGTAAATTGTCTACTACGATGTAAGTGTCATCGTCAGCTTTCAAAAACCAGTCTGCATCGTCCAAATGATTCTTGTAAATATATTTGAACGCTGCTTTGGTTTTTGTCCACAAGTTGTCTCTTCCCTCCTATTGTGAACAGAAAGATGTCATCGTTAAGTGTATTCTTACAAACTACAAATGTACAACTTATATTGTATTTGTAGTTGGAAGAATTTCTACATTATATTGGCTTTACGTGAACCATATCAACCGTTGACTACCGATTGGTCTTTTTTAAAAAAAAAAAGGTCTGTCCCAATGTACTTGATGCTGCAATGATGTAAAAAAAAAAAAAAAAAAAAGAAGAGGAGCCTTTATCTTTTAAATTATCTTTTAATGTATGCCAGCTAAAGACGTTTTGTTGCAAACTAATTTATTTTACTAACAGCATAAAAAACATATGGCGCTGCACTTGTAAGCGAAAGTAACATTTTGCATCTTTCCAGTGACAACTTATGGTTGTGAGTGATGGGACACTTATTCGATCATGGAAGAAAACAAATTCAGATTGTTTGAACTGCAATGCTATAGAAAACTTCTCAGAATATCATGGACAAAAAGGAAGAAAAACACTGACATCCTACATTATTTGAGCATTGGGGAGTATTGGCTCATAGACAGCATCCTGTCTCGAAAGCTCAAGTATTATGAATATGTTTAAGGAAATAGTGGTCTGTAGAGAACATTGATGGAGGGTAGTTTTCGAACATTCAGGTAGCGGTCGATTTCCCTGAAGATGAGTACAAATTCAGATGTTACGCAACTATACTGTTTACTAAGTAGTGGTTTCTATCTATTGTTCACCAAAGAGTGGTTTGCGTCAATTGTTCACTAAGGAGTGGTTTGTGTGTATTGTTCACCAAGGAGTGGTTTGTGTGTTCACAAAGAGTGGTTTGTGTGCATTGTTCACCAAGAAGTGGTTTGCGTGTATTGTTTACCAAGGAGTGGTGTGCTTATGTCTGGACCTAAGCTTGGGGTAAGTTTATTTGTTATTCTGTCCCTTTATCCAGCTGAACATTAGGTCTTTTATGTGAGAGAGTCTTATGAGTCTTGTGTGAGGTACACCAACCGTACTCAGTTACGCTGTGAAGTCCCTTTACATTACTGTGACTAATCAATCCTGTGCTAAAACATGGCTGAGAAATACCTGAGACAAAAAGAGGGGGAGAAAGAAGCGAGTTCTCTCTCTAGTACAATGTAGGCTCCCCGAGAACTCAGGTGTGTCCGATCAGTCCATTTTAGTCTCTTTGAGATCTGGGTATGTCCAAATCTTTCTCATGTAAGCCAGGCGAATGAGATAATGGTGGAATATGTTTCTCATAAGCCACGCGGCTGAGATAATGGTGGAATATGTTTCTCATAAGCCACACGGGAGAAATAATGTTGAAACGTGTCTCTCATAAGTCACACCACTGAGACAGTGGTAGAATATGGCTCTCGTAAGCCACGTGGCTGAGACAGTGGTGGAATACATCTCATGTAATCTTCGTGGCTGAGGTAACAAGGAGCTGAAAGAACAGGTCTGAGAAGAATTACTGGACTTCGAAGAGGAACTTAAACAGTCAAGAATACCGATGTTCGTCGGGAAAACAAGTTGATAACTATGCATTTGTTGTTTTAAAGTTTTGCTTTTTGTATCTCATTGATTATTTTGTATATTGTTGACTATGTCCCATCACTCACATATGTAGTGTCATTTGACTCTGTTTTATTACTTACATACTATTACTATATTGTATATATACTTCCTATCTCCCGCCGTTAAGCCAATAAATACCTCTAGTTTTATTTATACTACTATACAATCCCTAAAATGGCCCCCTTACTGCGCGCCCCTGCTCATCACCGTACCGGAAAATCTCCGATCCTCTGCTCTGTCTGCCCCACCACTCACGAGCACACAAGAGCCTCGCCCGAGCCGCCAGGTGACCCACATAGAACCTCACATTGACCCATAGTTGACCTGGAGTCCCTCTTATCGGAGCCGCCAGATGACCTACATAGGAAAGGCAAATCGTTTCTCCCTAGATCATCTGCGTCGCGATCAGCAAAAGTTAGATAGGACAAAGGGGCAAAACAAAATACCTGTAAAGCTAGATATCACTACTGGGTAAATACTACTCTGGTCTCGCCATTTACACATCGCTACACACTAGCTCGCTTCTGATTGGACGAACTACAACCCATCTCACCCTGATGGGCCAGCCTGATGAAATCCGACTTTCACACAAGGTCAAGGGGATATTCGGCACTCGCGCTGATACCGCGTGTTGTATATTTCACCATGCCAGAGCTTTCTAACACTTCTAAAACCTTTAGATACTGAGTCTAACACACAACCCACCTAGACAGTGACAAAACCTATGTCACAGTCTCTTTCTCGGAAATAAAAACGTAAGTGCAAGACAACAACAGACTGCGTCACCAATCACCTCGACCACTGTAGACTAGTCCAACCAACTTATCAATGGAGTTGACCTACAACAGTTGGTGTGTAAATGAGGAGACCATCGTATAAATAACCTAATACTGTAATTACACACATAAACTTTCAGTGTTTCTGATTTCAGTGGTCATTTAATGGATCTAGAAGACTTGTATCCTAGGTAGCGGTTTTATTTCCGTTTTAGAATTCCGACACAACCTTTTAGATTCAGCGACAGGCGATTTGGCAGCAGACCGCTTGATATTGATCTTAATATGATAGTGATGACCATTCGCACAGCTGGTTGAACAGGTTTGAACATCAGATCAACATCATGGCATACCTATAAGTGTTCCTTTCTTCTTCCAACTCAAGTATGAGTCTGAAGAAGCCCAGCACAGTGTACAGGCTCTATAGCATTGGCTAGGATCCTAAAATACTTTGGGTGGATTTGCAACTCCAGTTGTTTATCCGGGCAGCATCGTTGGGGGTACTCTTTTCGATTTTTAACTGCCAGGGGGATTTTTTACGTGGGCAACACGGCACACGGGCGTCCAATCTCACTATCCAAAGACCAGGTGGAATTACTAGAAGTCCAAGTCTACGTGAAAAAATCCCAACCCTTACCGGGGATTGAACCTGGAACCTCTAGCGATCGAGGCGGACACCATGCCCCGAGACGACGTAGCTCCCCAAATGAAGAACTGCTGAAAGCTAAATTACCTATTAAAACCCGAATCAGACAATAAATGCCTGGATAAGTTTGTAGCGACCTGTAAAGGATATGCAACATTTTTGTTTTCTGTAGAGCAGTGGGTGTTCTCAACCTCCCTAATTCCGCGACCCGTTCACACAGTTCCTCATGCTGTGGTGACCCCAAGACATCAAACTTTTTTCGTTTCCTCTTCATAACTTCCGTAAATATTTGTTTTCTGATGGTCTTCGGCGACCTCTGTGAAAAAGTCGTTCAAATCCAAAGGGGTCGCTGCCCATAGGTTGAGAACCGTTGCTTTAGAGGGTAACTAGAAACTGTCGGCCACACCCTCCCTATATGGTATTGAAAATTCATTGTAAATCATATCCTCACATTGACTTCATTTACAGCACAATTGGTCGCACTTCACGAGAAAACAATGAAATACAAAGAGTATTACACTAAAGAAAAAGAATCTTCTTCACATAAAAAAAAGGAGAAATGTGAATTATTGTTGGTCCCATTGAAAGACTCAACAAAGACGAAGTTGAAAGTATAGACACAAGAGGTAGACAACAATACAAATGGGAAGAAAACACCAAGAAATGAATCAACAGAGAGTGGGACAACCAGAACGAGAGATTGAATGTGTTGAAGAGCCATAGCAGATATCCTTAATTGCGGAGACAATGGTTCAAAGATAGTTGATTTCCCTCCATTGTCAGCTAACGTTAAAAACCTCCTAGCATTAGTACTTTAGGAACGTTGCAAAAAAGATCAAATCCAAGTCCTTTTGAGAAAAAAAAAAAATGAAAAGCTCGACCACGTTCTGACTGCTGCTAGCTAGCCGAGGCTGCTAGAAGTCTCCGCCTATATTTGTGGTCTTGGTTATTTGCGTCACTTTCGTGACTGAATTCTATTGTTTGTGCCATTTCTGGGCTTGATGCTTCCATCCGAATAAGACCGCTCGTCCTCCACCCTGTTGTTACTTGTGCATGTCTTCCCTCGTCTTACTAAGTGTTTCCAGTTTGCGTTGTTTCCCCTCAATTTGGCCAGGCGTATTTCGTAAGGCGACGCGCTTTTCCACACAACGTCCTTTGGACCACCATTTACATTGACCCGTAGTTGACCCGGAGTCCCTTTTATCGGAGCCGCGAGATGACCTAAATAGGAAAGGCAAATCGTTTCTCCTTAGATCATCTGCGCAGCGATCAGCAAAAGTTAGATAGGGCAAAGGGGCAAAACAAAATACCTGTAAAGCTGGATATCACTACTGGGTAAATTTTACGCTGGTCTCCTCATTTACACACCGCTACACACTAGCTCGCTTCTGATTGGACGAACTACAACCCATCTCACCCTGATAGGTCGGCCTGGAGAAATCCGACTTTCACACAAGGTCACGGGGATATTCCACACTCGCGCTGATACCGCGTGTTGTATATTTCAAAATGCCTTTTATCCTAGGTAGCGGTTTTATATCCGTTTTAGAATTCCGACACAACCTTTTAGATTCAGCGACAGGCGATTTGGCAACAGACCGCTTGATATTGATCTTAATATGATAGTATTAGTGCTGACCATTCGCAGAGCTGGTTGAACAGGTTTAAACATCAGATCAACATCATATCATGCAGGTAGTTACCCATAAGTGTTCCGTCCTTCTTCTAACTCAAGCATGAGTCTGAAGAAGCCCAGCACAGTGTACAGGCTCTAACGCATTGGCTAGGATCCTAAAATACTTTGGGTGGATTTGCAACTCCAATTGTTTATCCGGGCAGCATCGTTGGGGTACTCTTTTCGATTTTCAACTGCCAGGGGGATTTTTTACGTGCGCAACAAGGCACACTGGCGTCCGATCTCACTATCCAGAGACCAGGTGGAATTACTAGAAGTCTAAGACTACGTGAAAAAATCCCAACCCTTACCGGGGATTGAACCTGGAACCTCTAGCGCTCGAGGCGGACACCATGCCCCGAGACCACGTAGCTCCCCAAATGAAGAATTGCTGAAAGCTAAATTACCTATTAAAACCCGAATCAGACAACAAATGCCTGGATACGTTTGTAGCGACCTGTAAAGGATATGCAACCTTTTTGTTTTCTGTAGAGCAGTGGGTGTTCTCAACCTCCCTAATTTGGCGACCCGTTCACACAGTTCCTCATGCTGTGGTGACCCCCAGACATCAAATTATTTTCGTTTCCTCTTCATAACTTCAGTAAATATGTGTTTTCTGATGGTCTTCGGCGACCCCTGTGAAAGGGTCGTTCGACTCCAAAGGGGTCGCTGCCCATAGGTTGAGAACCGTTGCTTTAGAGGGTAACTAGAAACTGTCGGCCACACCTTCCCTATATGGTATTGAAAATTCATTGTAAATCATATCCTCGCATTGCCTTCATTTACAGCACAATTAGTCGCACTTCACGAGAAAACAATGAAATACAAAGAGTCTATTACACTAAAGAAAAAGAATCTTCTTCACATAAAAAAGGAGAAATGAGAATTATTGTTGGTCCCATTGAAAGACTCAACAAAGACGAAGTTGAAAGTATAGACACAAGAGGTAGACAACAATACAAATGGGAAGAAAACACCAAGAAATGAATCAACAGTAGTATCAGAGAGTGGGACAACCAGAACGAGAGATTGAATGTGTTGAAGAGCCATAGCAGATATCCTTTATTGCGGAGACATTGGTTCAAAGATAGCTGATTTCGCTCCATTGTCAGCTAACGTTAAAAACCTCCTAGCATTAGTACTTTAGGAACGTTGCAAAGATGATCAAGTCCAAGTCCAAGTCCTTTTGAGAAAAAAAAATGAAAAGCTCGACCACGTTCTGACTGCTTCTAGCTAGCCGAGGCTGCTAGCAGTCTCCGCCTATATTTGTGGTCTTGGTTATTTGCGTCACTTTCATGACTGAATTCTAGTGTTTGTGCCATTTCTGGGCTTGATGCTTCTATCCGAATAAGACCGCTCGTCCTCCACCCTGTTGTTACTTGTGCATGTCTTCCCTCGTCTTACTAAGTGTTTCCAGTTTGCGTTGTTTCCCCTCAATTTGGCCAGGCGTATTTCGTAAGGCGACGCGCTTTTCCACACAACGTCCTTTGGACCACCATTTACAGTTTTAAAATTTTGAGTATTTTATTTTGCCAAAATGTATTGAAAACAGTTTTTGATTTTGGATAGTTCCGAAATGTGAAATTATTTCGCGTAAGAAGATCAAAGTTAATTTGTATTTGTATACGTCTTCCCCTCCGTTGCGATTTCAAGTGTTGAGTGTCGTGTTCATTGATATCTTGATATATGCTCCACTGCACTAGTTAATCAGGAAATATGTATGTATGTAAGTTGTACCCCACCAGTACACCATACAAGCGATAAACACCCAGTGACACAAAGTGACACCATGCGGATGATGATCACCCGTTGAGGGGACCCGGAAACCCCGTTCAGCCGTTAGGCCATTTTTTCGGCTATATTTAGGGCCCCCAGCAAAAGCCAGGATAGGGCTTCAAAAAAACTAAAAATTGCATCCCACAAGGGAATGACGAGATAATTCGAAAATAAGTTGTTGGTTTCATCTCTAGAACAAATTTCCGATTCAGAAATGAGTTGTGGTTTTATTTTTTTTCTACATCAAGAGAATAAATCTCTGCAACTGCCGATTTTAACCCCGGCTTAGAAAAAAGAATAGCTAGTGATAGGGCTAGCTTCCTTATCCTGCAAAACATTGTCTTGCTAAACACAGGTAGAAAGAACGCTATTGTAATAAACAGATAATTAGAGAAATTCGAGTTTTACAGAACACTCTTCTGATAAGTTAGAGCAACAATGACATGAAAATAATAGAGGGACTTCTTCTTTTTCTTTTTTCTGTCGTCTCAATGATACCAGATTGTAGCCCAATGTCGAGATTTTCTGTATTTGTCTTGTGCTTCTTGGGCGGTTGAATGGTTGATTTTTATTTCAACTTTTTGCAGGTTTCTGCTTCACCATTTATCCATATCTTTTTTTTTGTCTTCCTCTCCTCTTCCTCTCAGATGTTCTGCTGTAAAAAAAAATCTCAGATTTAGTTTGGTCTAGCTGCATTTCGTTCTTTGTCAATATAACCCAGACATGGTCTTTTCCCGACTGTCTCTCTTATGCCGGTAATCGCAACTCTGTCTCTTCTTGTGTTGTTAGTGACCTTGCAGAGACTGCGCATTTCATATGTAGTTATTTTCAGTTCTAATGCCCTATTCATTGACCATGTTTTGCACTGATAGCATCAGATAGGGACAAAGATGCTATTAATAATTGGTTGTTTTGCTGGGAGGGAGACATTTGGGCCCCTAAGCAGTGGGGCTAACCTGTAGGTTGAGTCTACCATTCACTGTAAATATGCTTACTAGATATTATAATTCTCGTACTAGTTTAATTGTAGTACCGTTAACATGAACGTTCATGATATTGTGTTCAAAGTAAGGGACGATTTAGCAACAACAAAAAAAAAAAAAAAAGCATTAAAAGTCTGATTACAAATTAGTCGTGACAAGAAAAATATACTGAACACACGAATAAGAGGTCAATCAAAAGTCACGCTGCAGACATAAAAAATTAATCAGAACGGTTTACTTACTCAAGTATTAATCAAGGAAGCTTTTAAAATCCTAAGCAACAGATGAAACTCTAATTAACTAGACGATTTTAATGCCAGCTGCGTATTATAACTTTATTTCAGTTCTAATAAATGTCAGAGAAAGGCTGGAGAACCACTGAAAACAAGGGACGAAAGTAAAACATTTTAAAAACAAATGCCTTAATTAAGAAAACTGATAAATATGGATGCAAGAAAGCCGAGAAAATCATAAAAATATCTAGTCAACCACTTGTATCAACAGTGATTAGAGAAAGAAGAATACATTATATTGCACAAATTCTGAGGTGAAATGTACAAAGAATCACAAAATAGGCACTGCGACTGGACACAGCTGGATTGAGGAAACATATTACGAATTTTGAATTAAGAACTGACATTGCAGAACTCGAAACATTCCCATAAGCGCTCCGTCCTTATCTTCAGCAGCAAGCTCAGAGTTCAAATTCCGGTCGTACCAGTAACTGTTTGTCCACCTTGCTCTTCCCCCGAGTGTTATGCATCGGCCAGATCCCCTGGTCACTTCTCGCTTTATCGTTCTCTTGAGACTATAGTGATCTATGTGTACAGCTACACTGTTTACTCTCTTCCAAAGGATCCTTACAACGTATAGCTTGAAATAGGTCAATTTACCACCGAGTGGTACAGAACCAGCCAATATATAAGTCTGTTCATTTCCCAACACACCGCCATACCCTAGAGAAAATAGTCAAAGGACGCTAACAACCCGGCACCTCTGAAGCAATGCTGGCCACTTTGCACGGAATATACCTTACTCCATCCACATTTGTCAGCATGCTCTGTCAGTCAGCTACACTCCCAACATATGTATGCAGCTGGTTTTGAAACCATTGGAAAACTTCAGTGACCACCTTCAACTTAATAGTCGCTCCTCTTCTACCTTGGTGTGTAGAGGTTGCTAGAGAGATCACCAGACTTCTATATCAGCAGTTTTCTTTCTTGCTTTGTCTTATTCCAGTCCTCTGTCAGTCAGAAACTGTTGTTGTCTTCCAAGCAGACCCTGGGTCGACCTGGAGGTCTGGTTCTCTGGTTCTTAACCTCCCATGCCTGCCATATGGAACGATTTCCCACCATTTTGCATACATGACCAGACCATCGTAACTGTGACTGATGCACTCAAATTTGTTAGGCATGCGTTTCAAGATTTTCACGTATTTTCTGACTGCGAAATTTGTCCCTTCTTAGACCACTTTTCTCAGATATCTAATTTCTGAGGCCTGAAGATAGTTTATGTGAGCGGTTGTCATTGCCGATGATTCACCCCCGTAGGTCAGTTCTGGCACATAGGTAGAGTGGTAAACCGCCATTTTCGTCCTCTTGCCAATGTCTCTTTCACTAAGGAACCCTCGGTTTATGGCCTGGAAAAAGTCTCAAAGCAGCTGCTTTCCGAGCACCCAGCTCTGTCTTAATGCCTCCATTGGGGTCTATTACAACTCCAAGGCACAGGTTTTTGAACTGATTGACCTGCTCCAATGCATACTGTCCTATCATAATCTAATGTTTCTTCTCCTCTGTTGAGATAGCCATGATTTTAGTTTTGAGGACACTGATGGTCATCCCTCTCTTCTCAAGCTCTTCCTTCCAGACAAGCATGTTAAATTAAAGAAGTGACTTTGATTTAGCCATCAGGACCACATCGTCTGCAAATGTATTTTGCAGAAGATGAAAAAAAAAAAAACTAACGATCGGATAACTTACCTCTACATTAAGGACTACTACTGGTAGCTCAATAGCTGGTTTGGAGCTCATAAACAGAAGAACGTCGCACCTCTTTCCCCAAGTAGCGTTCACGTGAATAGCTTTGGTTTGAATGTTTCCAGGATGGGTTAACACCCAGCAGAGAAGACGTATTTTCTTGTAGAGAACAAGCGGATCTGCAGTATTGTTGACATCTAGAGATTTTTAACATGTAGTATTACGTTGAGTTATACGTCAATATTTGTCAATAATATTTTTCGTTATTTTGAAGCCGCACCTTGGCTCTTTCCAGGGGCCGCAATATAGCCCGGCCATAAATATGGTATAATGGCTGAACGCGGTTTCCGGGACCTCTCCACGGGTGATCCTCAGCCGCATGGTGGCAATTTGTGTTACGGGTGTTTATCGCTCTGTGTCATGTCCCGGTGAGGTAAAATTTGCTTACTTACTTTCCTTGGTTGATGTGTCTAACCAACAGCCTTTAATTTCCAGGGCATTACCTAGTACCCAGTGTGTGATGGGTATACTTTGAAGTTAGGTCATTTATACAAATCGCTTTCAATGACAGTCTCGGACCTTCAGATAAAGGGCATAGCCACTTCGATTTAACCGCTCCCTGATATGGTATTTTTATATTATTTTTTTTGTTTACGCTAGTTACGTAAAGGGCATATTATACTCGACTGATAATGTGGCGTTAACTGACACATTAGTGCACGCTGCTACTATTGTATACAAGGTCAGAAGCGAAACCAGAGTACACACAAAATAACTACAAAATAGAAAGCTGTATATAGACTTGAATTCGAACTTGCGCCGATCATATAGGAATTGCAGTAATGCAGCCGCTAGAAAGCCTGTCTGTCGGTCTGTTGGTTATGTGGTTGAATCCTAAACGAGACAGATAATTTCAATTTACAGTAGAACCTCGCTTAACGAGCACATCTCATAATGAGTAATTTGCTTAACGAGCAAAACAAATTGTAAAAGATTTTCGCAAACTTGTGTTATGACTTGCTTAACGAGCGACGTTACTCGCATAAGCAAGTTATTTTCCTAACTTTAATAAGCGAGTGGCGAGGAGAGGGGAAGTCCCGGGATTGTGCGCATGTTATATCATTGTTTAGCACTCGTTACAGTAGCATCGTAGTGTAGGTGAATAACAGTGATATCGAAAAGCTTGTGGAAGAGCACAGCCAAGAGCTGCTTGTGATCACAGTTTGTCAGAGGAGGAGGTAACAAAAAAGCAACAATCTTCTGGCGAAACAAGAGAAATGCTGAAAGCATGGGAAACTGTTGCATCTCACAATGAGAAGCATCACCCTAATAAGGAAGTGGCTATGCGTGCTGCAAATTTATTTAATGATAATGCTGTGTCACATTTTCGCCAAATTTTGAAGCGTAGGCAATAACAAATGTCTCTGGACATCTTTCTAGAAAAAAAAAATTATTAGCTATGTATCATAATTATTTCGACTTTTTTCCCCTGCAAATCGAATTTGCATTCCAGATGGGTTTGTTCCGCGTTTGAAGAAAAGATGAAGATGATTCACTCTCCTTAAATATGTAGATAATTTTTATTGAATAAACGTTAAACATAACATTTTGTGAGTATTTTTTTTTTCTACATGGAACGCATTTTCGTAATTTATATTAATTTATATGAGAAAAATTGTTTCGCACAACGAGTTTTTCGCTTAACGAGTATGATTCTGGAACGAATTGTGCTCGTTAAGCGAGGTTCCACTGTATTTTACCTGGGCTTACAAACCAGTTATGCATAGCTGCTGCTGCTTCTTTGCTTTCACCAGTAAATTAACAATTGCTGTTTATTATTAAACACTCCTATGTAAGATATTTTTTCTCCGATTTTGCAGGTCGATATTTTTTCATGCTTTCAGAAATACATTTGGCAGATGGAAATCGAAAAGAGTAGTCTAACGTCGCTGCCCGGGCAAAACTTGCAGTTAAAAATATACTCAAGAGTAATTCAGTATCCTCGGCGGTGCAACTGAGTTCGGGCACTGCGCTGAGATTCTTCAGACTAATGCTAGAAGTAGAACTTCTAATGTTAGAAGTAGAATGGAGCACTCATGGATTACATCCGTATGCCACGATGTTGATCCGTTGAATAGACATCATGCTTTCAAAACTTGATCACTGCTGATAAATCTATTATAAAGTCGATTTTAATATTGTTATCTTGTATCTCCCCCCGTTTTCGTTATAGTTTTATAACTGGAGGATTGTGATCCGAAATTACATCTGCAACTGTTTCTGCGTATTTATCTGATGTATCCTGCATTCATTTAGAGCTGGTGTATAGAGAATTACAACCCCTGTGACTTCAAGGGTCGAATATCGGTCGTCCACCCGTGGGACACAACTTTTAGTTATTTTAAAGCCCCACCCTGACTTTTGCCGGGTACCCTAAGTATATCCGGGCCTTAAATATGGCCTAACGGCTGAACGGGATCTCCGGGACCTCTCCACGGGTGATTTTCATCCGCATAGTGGCACTATGTGTCACCGTGTGTTTATCGCTTGTCTGATGTATTGGTGGGGTACAACTTACTTACTTACTTCAAGGGTCGCAACCTTGATATAAAAAAAAAAAAAAAACAGGCAAAATTCAACCTTGTTAAACCTACAAATTAATATTAGGGAACTATTCACGGTTACACCAAGTTGTGCTCTCTGAAAGCCTGTGTGGTTATGTGTGTTGGGGGGGGGGGGGGTGGTATTTAGGTAGGAAGTTGTACCCAACCAGGACATCACACAAGCGAAAAACACCCGGTGACACCATTCTGATAGGGGTCACCAGTGGAGAGGTCCCGGAAACCCCTTTCAGCCGTTAGGCCATATCTATGGCTAGGCCATATCCCCAGCTGACTCCATTTAAATAAGGAAGTGGCCATATCTAAGCCGATCAACAAATTCAAACAAGACTCCTGTAGGGTGGTGGGATACCTACTGTACGACTGCAATACGGGCTAGAAAAGCTGCCCTGCAGAGATACAGTAGGTATAGAACAGAGGCCAACTACGCGACGTACAAGAAACATAGAAATGAAGCCAATAGGGCGGTGCAAAAAGCAAAACAGGCACACTGGAGATCTTTTTGCCAAACTGTAACACCAGACACACCAGCTACTGCAGTTTGGCAAAAAATCAAGGCGATTCAAGGCTCTAAGAAATCAATTAATATCCCTACAATCAAAGACCCAGAGATACCCATAACAGATAAAGAAAAAGCAGAACTTTTTGGGAAATATTTCCATAAAGTCAGTTCAAACGCCAGCCTAGGCGCGAGTGAGATAGAAAGAAGAAACCAATTTCTAGAAGTAAACCGACCCCGAAGATGGTGCAGCGAAGATCACTACCTCGATGCGGAAATTACAGTCGAAGAAGTAGTCGCTGCGGTAGGAGAGAAGACCAACACTGCCGCCGGAGCAGACATACTAAACTACGCCATAGTCAAAATGTTACCACCAAATAGTATAAAAGTAATTACGGATCTGTTCAACATAATCTGGAAAGAAGGTTACATCCCTAAACAGTGGAAGAGGGCGGTCGTCATACCAATATTAAAGACAGGGAATCCACAGAGAGCAGATTCGTACCGCCCCATTTCACTAACTCGACACTTAGGAAAAGTACTTGAAACAGTAGTTAAAAAACGAATAACGTTCCACCTAGAGAAGAACAATCTCCTGAGCAAGACGCAATCGGGATTTCGCAACAATCGTTCGTCTCTCGATCAAATAATAAAATTAGAAGACCACGTCAAATGGGGCTTCAGAGGGGATCAAAAAACGATAGCGGTCTTCCTTGATCTGGCCCAGGCGTATGATCTATGCTGGAGAGAAGCGGCGCTGTTAAAGATAGCTAAGATCGGAATCAAAGGAAGAAAGCTCAACTACGTAAACAGCTTCTTACAAGACAGGACGTTTCAGGTGTCGGTAAAAAATGAAACTTCAATCCCACTATCCAGGAGAACGGCATCCCACAAGGTGCCGTGATCTCCCCGATTATATTCAATATACTAATAAATGATTTAAATGAGGCCATAATAGGCAAAGATATAGGCCTTTCTCAATTCGCAGACGACTGCGCAATTTGGAAAAGCGCTAAAAAAACTAACAGACATCCGCACCAACCTACAAAGAGAACTCAACGACGTCACCGATTGGCTGAACCAATGGGGCTTCAGAGTCAACGCAGCTAAATCGGTGGCGATAATTTTAAACAACAAACAACAAAGATATGACAGAAACCTAGATTAACTAAGAATTAACGGGCAAACAGTAAGCATGCAAAAACACACACGATTTCTAGATCAAAGTACCTTGCCAGGGGAAAAAATGCAGTGATCGTCAGATGATCTGTTCCACTGCTGAAATTACCTTGTAAACCTATGATCAAAGTACCTTGCCAGGGGAAATAATGCAGTGATCGTCAGATGATCTGTTCCACAGCTGAAATTACCTTCTAAACCTATGATCAAAGTACCTTGCCAGGGAAAATGATGCATAGTCATAACCATAGTGGGAGTCGCCGTGGCCGAGCGGCTAGACGCTCGTCGCGGATCGGAAGGTCGTGGGTTCGCTCCCTGGCGGAACCGGACTTTTTTCGAAAATGACCTTGGCTCCCAGGTCGACCCAGCCTTGAATGGGTACCGGGTGCAGTCCCGGGAAAGTAAAGGCGACCGTCGTGATGCTGACCACATCACCCATCTTGTGCCGATTGGTCTATAAAAATATAGGTCTAGCCCTAAACGCCTGATGGCGTGGAAAAGGGTCCTTTACTTACTTACATAACCATAGTTCGTCAATGCAACCGCGTATAGAATGTCATAATAGACGTGTCACGTAAACAATGCACGGAGACAACCGTTAGTCCCAGGGGACCATGGAGTTGGGTCACTGGTTTTGGGGACAGCGCCTGTTAAGACTGAAAAGTCCAGTGCACGAATGACAGTCTCTGTCACATAACCCACATAAAAGTAAAGTAATAAAGTAAAGATTCTTTTTAAGCCTATAGGTAAATCAGGCATATGGGAAGAGCACCCATATTTAAACATATCAATCGGCACTAGGTGGGTAATGTGGTCAGCATTACGCCGGCCGTCTTTACTTCCCCAGAACATACATCCTAGTACCCATTTTAAGCTGGGTCAACCTGCAACGACCCGTACCATGATAAAAATCCACGCAGCCAGCAGTGGGTTTCGATCGCGGTACGTTGGAGAACCCATATGTGTGTGTTTTAAATGTGAACTAGTATAGTGTGTCTGTCACGGGGCCGTACAACGAGCCGTAGTTAAGTAGTATAGATACAAGGTCTTTGAAAACGGGAAAAAGGGGGGGGGGAATGGAAGATGCATAACTGAAATAAGATACAGAATAGTTATGTTATGAGAAGAGAGAAAATGGAACATGTTGTGACTACTGGAGTGATCTCTGGAAGGAGGGATAGAGGAAGACAACGAGAGAAGATTCTTGACATTCTTGTGGCATGACATGGAGGTGTGTCGGCACACGAACTGATACATGCTGCAGGAGATCGTGGATGTTCTTCATTTCACAAAAGGCAGTTTTGGCCTGTCCTTTTCTGTTCTTTATCTCTGTGACACATCTTCCTTTGGATGTTATCCATGTGCCTAGATACTTAAACCCCTGTGCTTGTCCTAAAAAATGAATGGGACTTTTATTACACATTTTGGCACTATTCTTTTCTTGGAAAACACCATTACTTCTATCTTCCCATTATTAAAACTGGGACCGATTAAAGCTAGCAATACCATGTATTATTATGTAAGAAAGGATAATCATCATCAGTATTTCAGAGTTCTTGCGCTGGTCATGAAGTTTCCTGATCATTCCATTGTTCAGTTGTAATGTCTTCTGCTGCTCTCTCTATAATTCCAAAATATATGTTGACTGAGTTATGATCGCTGCATGTCTGTTTTACAAATGACCAAGTCATGAGTCGTCAGTGGTTACATACTATATGAAGCTGTATTTGTAATTTTTCAGAATATGTTTATCTGTCAATGTTACAATGCAGCTGGTTCTTATTTTTCAATGACATCTCTATCTAAGATGCCCAGTGGCATTTTCCTTCACATTTTTTAAACACAAGAACATGTGTGTGTGTGTGTGTTGTTGTCCATCAAGATGATGATGACCACTCTTTTTCATCAAGTATGAGTACGAAGATGACTGATGAAGCCGATGTGGGCCCAAAAAAGTTCTTGGACAGTGAGGACAGGGAATGAGCGTTGTGCCAGGGAGGAGATCTCCTGCAGTCGCCTTTCTGTTCATCCTTTTCTTAATAAGTCTTGCTGTTCCGTTTGCTTCACATGTAGCCTAGCCCTTGTGTAGAGCTGCACGCCATACATTTCGGTCTTGAGAGGCAGCCTCCCAACTGGTGTCATTCATCCCAAATGCTTTAAGTGAAGACTTCAAGTGTCCTTAAAGTGTTTCTTTTGCCCGCCTTGGGAACGTTTCCCATTTTGCAGCTCACCATAGAAGAGATTTTTTCGGAGGCCTGTGATCTGGCATGCGTGCCACATGACCAGCCCAGCTAATTTGATACTGCATCAGTAGAGTGTGGATGCTGGGCATGGCTACACAAGAACATAAAGAAAGACGAAAGACAAGTAAACGACTTTCAAAAAAAATTTATTTATATCAGAACGCAGGTCAAGTGGCATCTACGCTTTAATTACCTTCAAGTTTTAGCATATATTATCAAACTTTCTATGGAAACAAAGACAACTGCAATGGTGAGAGTCAATCAGAAGTTAGCTTTCATTATCTTCATCCTCCTATGGTGCCATTACAGGTCATACAGGGCTTGCTGTCAAGTCCTCCATTTAGTTCTCTACTGTGCAATTATTTTGATCATCATAAAGCACTTCTGCCATTAAGTGTCCAATGGAAGAATAATCTGCGATCCAGTGCACGCTGGCTGCCACTGGCCACTGTCATGCTGTGAAGGCGAAGACTCTTTAATGTTGTCAATCCATATTTTTACTGGCCATCCTCTTGCACTCTTGTATAATTGCTATGAATATATTGTGTTCATGATCTTGCTCAATTTGATTAAAAGGTCTTTGGAGAAAGTGATTCTTTCCTTTATCATTGTCATGGATGACAGTGTGCAGTCTAGATCAGGCATGGTCAAACCGGCGGGTCACATGTGGCCCTTTGCAAGCACACCTGAGACAAGCCCACGGGAAATTTTCTGTGATTAATTTTTATTAAATTACTCCAATAAACTGTCATGTGTGGCCCTCATGACAACACAAATATGGCCCATAGGGGCGACCCTCAGTTTTACATGCCTGGTCTAGATACAGGACTGATTAGTTTTGTTTTGTTTTGATTTTAATTCCTTTTATTTGATTGAAACAGATTAACACTGACAACATTAAATGACTCCAATAAACTGTCATGTGGGGCCCTCATGACAACACAAATATGACCAATATGGCCCTTGGGGGGACCCTTAGTTTTACATGCCTGGTCTAAATACTGGAGTGATTAGTTAGTTTTGTTTTGATTTGTATGCCTTTTATTAGATAGAAACAAATTAACATTGACAGCATCACACAATGACTGATCTACTAAAATATGGGTTCAATTCCAAATCCCTGATGCTAACGGTGTGATAAGAGTCCTCGGCTATATTGAAATGTTAGCCGGCCGACCGGTCTGTTGATTTTAGGTTCAATCTCTCATTGAGGCATATTTTAAAACTGACTTGGACTTTGTCTGCCCAGTATTACACTGATACCAGGATATGTCATGGGAAGCAAAAGGCAGTCTGAACTGTATTCATCATACTGCCCAGTATTACACTGATACCAGGATATGTCATGGGAAGCAAAAGGCAGTCTGAACTGTATTCATCATACTGCCCAGTATTACACTGATACCAGGATATGTCATGGGAAGCAAAAGGAAGTCTGAACTGTATTCATCATACTGCCCAGTATTACACTGATACCAGGATATGTCATGGGAAGCAAAAGGCAGGCTGAACTGTATTCATCATACTGCCCATTTGAGTGTGTTTGTTTATAAGATTTCATATAAGCACTATATGCCCAAAACATCACAAGGTGCGGTAGTGGGCCTTAAATTGATAGCTATAATGACATCTATTATATACACCATATAATACAATTTGTTTCTTGGAAGGAAGCAGTTTTGCTAACATGGACAACATTCCTTTTCATCAGTATAATGATAAATGACCATACATGCTGAATTAAACAAATAAGCAAAACATTGTTTTTTAATCCTTTTGCCAAATAAACAAGGGAGGCTCAAAACCTGGGAACCCCAGAAGAAAAAATCCATTATAACAAACAACCTTTTTATGCAGGTCACAAAGCAATTAGTTTAAAATGTGTTTATATAATTCAAACATTCTGTTTAAATATACAAAAGGTAGTAATCAACAAGCAGAAACTAAGGTCTAATTAAGTGATTATACTCCCTTAATCGCCATTTTTTACAATCCCCCCCCCCCCCTTTTTTACGCCCACTATTTTTGAGTAAATATGGTATCTGGCCTTTACAAACACTGCACAAGCTCAAAGAGTACCAAAGCTGTTATAAAGGCATAGTGGGAACTGACTAAAGTCATTCATACAGTCCACTTTGATATCTGTACTTGATGGCAAAGTTGAATTAATGACCTCTCTGGGTGAAAGGGTTAAAATGCCAAAATTTTATGTACAATTTAAAATTCAGTGGCTATATTTTTCACTCCTGAGTGATAAATCTGGCCAATTTTATTTTAGTAATAAAAGGCATAAACCGCCAGTGAAAATGAATTGTGACAGCATCAAGTAATATTAAAAATATCAGAACAGTAAATAAAGTTAAGCATTCAACTTTCTGACCTCTTGTCTGAGATTGCAAAATACAAACATATATTGGAAAATGCTGCAGTTTCAAAATTTAATATTATAATACAAACCAAATGTTATAGTTTTCTACTTTCAAAGAAGTGGAAGAAAGTAACATTCCTCACAAGAGCACTTGAGGTATTGAGGAGACAGAAGATCAGAAAACAAGGAGACCAGAACAAAAGTGTATATGCAGCACTAAAATTCATTAGTAAACAGTGAAATAGATTGTGTAACTTGGCTAACAAAAGGCAGTATACTGTAACAAGTATTAATGTATAGACCATGTTAAAATCAGGAGAGCCTGGCCATGTCATTAATGGATAGAGGCTAATGCAGAGTTATTGGGATGCACATAAATGGGCACCACCCTGTTGTTTATACCTTAT